CGAAGAACTATAATTCAAGTCCAGGGCTTTATGACGGTACCATAAGTTATTGCAGAGGAGGTAACGTAGTGGTGCCACTTATCCCGACATTGGATTCCGGGTAAAATCCTTGCTCGACTCCGTTTTGGGCCAACGAATCCTCCTGGCCTTTCGAAAACGGAAAAATGCTACCAGAGCGAGAATCTAACCTATGACTTGTCAATCCTCTTGTCACCGCAAGACACTGATTAAGCCGCACTTCATACTGATTGTGAATAGAAGGAGAATATGTTACGTATCCCTTGAAAGGATTAAATAATGCCAGGGCCTCAGTTTTCCTTGGCAGGTGAAAACTGAATAAAGGAGTTAGAAAGCTCATAACACACTAGCGGGGAATTTTTCTGCCCACTAGGAGGCTGGCAGTTAGCTCTATAAGCTCTATCAGCGGTCACCAGTTGTGTGGGGAGCCAGTGATCAGGCTGAAAATCCCCTAGTGAGATTGAGAGCACTGGCCCATCAACACCAGTGCTCTTAGTCATCCATAAGTGAACGATACGATCTATGATAAAGCTTGTCCTGGTAAAGGAGGGCAAGTGCAGTCTGGAAAGTGGCAGTGAAGAAGAAGAATGACGTGTCGCATAAGCGAAAATAATGACGTGTTCATGTGATACATGGGAATAGTACAAATATCCAAAATCTCGTTTAGGAGGCGGGGAACTCGACTGATTTCCTCCCAAGGGAATCAAAAGGTCATTCGTCCAGTCATGTCACTGTGTTTGTCCTGGATAACGGATGAAAGTCATCATGAGAGAGCTGCTTGAGATTTATGACGCTGCCCACTGTGCAAAACTTAGGGGTGGCAAAGGAGCTGCAAAAGAACATGATTCAAGCAAATAAAGTGCAGGCTAGGGCAAAAAGAATCGGAAATGAGAGATCAGAGTTTTCCATGTTGACCAATCCCACTTTTTAAAGCGTTGGGTAATCCAGGGACCGCATTAGAAGGACCACCCGTTGGCCACACAAGGGCTGATTAAAGCGATATGAGACGCCTCAATGTCGTGCTTTCACCATCCCAGACAAACCTAGTACCAGTAAACAGGCCCGAAGGGATGCAAGGTGTGGTTTGGCCCAGTTGGGAGACGACCCCAGATTAGACCTTAGCGGTTCAAGTGGTAAGCAGTACCACTCGCCTCTCACCACCTTGATCCGGTGTAAGGATCCTTCTCCATTAGTTAATGCCATCCTGAACCTGCAACAACTTGAGGAAGGATCTATCCTAGCTAGACTTCAATCCATGCTCCCTCAATGCCTCTTTCGCGGGGTTATGACTGTGAAGCAGAAGAAGCAGTAACGCAGCTGGCCAAGAAGCTCGTTCGAGTGCCCTATTTCGCGTCCAAGACGGCATTGAAGGCACGGAAAGCAATAAAAGCCTAGGTTATTCTGCAGAAATGTGGAATATAATTCG